GTGCTGGAAACGTGGCTCAAAATGCGAGAAAATCTGCCCTTGTGGGGTCGGCGTAAACTCCCACACAGTAGGCATTTCACAGTTACACTGCTAACCTCTGAGGCTCTCGCCTGCTTGTATACTAACGCTCATGATTTACTCATTAAGTTACCCGAGACTCGTACTCGTCAGATTCCTAATCCTTGAGATGTAGTCGTGTTAACTGAAACATGGCTGAATACTGAAAGCACTACTGTTAAGCTAACCTTACCTAGCATATCTCTCCCACTAAACGATTGATTAAACAGAGTAGGCGGATTGCTCTTTTGTCAGCGATCTGACCAGTATATCGATATCAACAACCATCCAAATGGGTAAGTTATCACTTCTGCCTGGTGCCGGCTGCAGCTTAGACGTAGTGATATGTGCTATCTTGCAAGAATTTACCACCCTCCAAGATCCACCCCAGTAAATGGATCACTGTCTGGCATTTGGTGTGAAGTAAGTCCTGGCACGCTCATACAGTAACGTTTTTTGTAAGGGACTTCAACCTGCACGCAATCGAAGTCCCAGCTTCGCCCAAGGAACAAGTTGAAGCAGATTTACAAGTACTAATCACTGATATGCAGATACACGACTACTTCACCACGCCCACGAAATACAGAACGGGCAATGAACCACCTGTCTTAGATCTTATGTTCACCAACGAGGAGCTTATGATTGATGCAGTAAAGATAGGTACACCGTTGGACCGTAGCGATCACTCGACGCTGCTCTTGCGCTTGAGTTGCTAAGCGGAAGCCATCTGTGAAAGCAGCGAGGAAGCTCAGGTCGTCTTCAACTACAATACACTCTCAAACCTCATTCAAGATACCAACTAGTCCCTTCTAGCTGAGCAGCATCCCGACGTCGCCCGGAAGATACTTGTTACACTTTCCATTGGGCTAATGACAAATGCATCGGAACCCAAAGTCTTTCGTTCGAAGCAAATGAAATCCTTCCTGAAGAGCTGTACACGAAAATACGTGGATCTAAGGCATTCTGTCTGGCGCACTTATAACGCCTGATCGGATACACAGGCCTGGGATACCCACATAACATTGAAATCATTGTGTAAAATTTGTTCGCGAAGTCAAATTTAAAGCCAAAAGGAACTCAGTATTATTCCTTGAATACCTTACATGTACGTCAGTAGGCTCCAGAGATTGCAGCGCGGGATCCTAGTTTTACGTGCTGTGTATAGTTTGGCGTTTACTACAAAGGATACGGCGAAAGCGCCTCGGCAACATTTTGCCCTCACTTGCCAAAGTGGATCGCCACCTCACCCATTCTTGTCACAGCCCTCTCCGCACCCAGAATCAAGCCATGTATCCTTAATTGATGCAAACCGGATGAAAAGACTACTGTAACTGCGCGTGCACAATTCTCCTGGTGTGAACAATATCAAACGTAAGACATTAAAAACAGTCAGCATTAACCTCGTCCAACCTTTAGATAGATTATTTTAACGGGGACTTGAGGAAATGCAGATCCTCACAATGTGGAAACGGAACGGTATATACTAATTACAAGAAGGCGGATTATGCGGAGCCCTCTAACTACCGTCCAATCACTCGCCCCCAGTTTTATCCAAAGTTATGGTAGGTATATTTGCAGAGACTCTCATGTGATACCTCGACAGCAACACAATAGTGTCACGGTAGCATGGAATCTGCCAAACTCAGTCCAACACCACAAACTTGTTACTTACCCTAACAAACTGGAAGATGTCAGTCGACGCTAAACAAGGAGTCGACGTCGTATACTTAGACTTCTCTAAGGCTTTCGAAGTCCTATACGTCCGAATTCTCCTTCACAAACTTCGAACCTATGGAATCGGTGATCCTGTGCTAGGTTGGCTTAACAACTTTCTTACTCAACCTCAGCTGAATGTGAGTGTCGCAGATCCATCCCCGACCCGATTGACGTCCAGTCTGAAGTGCCCAAGGATCGGTACTAGGACAAGTTCTATTCCTATTATTCGTCAACCATCTGGCTAGTGTGCTCCAGTTAGACTTCCTAACTTATGACGACGATGTCAATATCTGACATTACATCAAGTTAGTATACAACCATGTAAAACCATAAGGAGACCGCGACATTGTCATCCAAAAATTGGTTCCAGTTTAACGGCGAAATGTAAAGCTCTGAGCATACGCCAAGAGCCTACTCATGAATATCGAGTTGGAGAGTAGCAGATGCAACCTGTTACACAGTAAGGCGACTCAGATTTAATCGTGCAAGTTGACCGTGGCTGCTCCAAACAGGCTGAAAAGGGATTGAGAATAGCCAGGCAGCACCTTGGCCTCCTACGAAGGGCGTTCGGGAAGTTCGAGCTATCAATCGTTCCACAAATGTTGAACGCCTACGCGAGACCCCAGGTGAAATACGCGATCCAGACCTGGCGATCTTGGGAAAAGCAAAATGCTGCTGCGCTCGAAGCTTCAAAACGTAGGGCGAGGAAAATCGTTAGAGGACTGTTTCGCCTCTCCTACCAACACCGACGGCAAGTTCCAGGCCTATACAGCGGCGAGTACCGGCGTCTGAAGGGAGACACTTTCATGGTGTACTAACTACCGAATAACCCCAATCACCCCTGTAGCAATCTGTTTCAAGTCAGTCACAATACTAACCTGAGGGATCACCAGTTCAAACTGACCACACAGCACAGTGGACTAACTTGCGGAAAAATCCTTTTCCCCCTTCTGGTATCCAGAACCGGGGTCGCTCTTCCTTCTCAGATTACTTTCACCCCAACCTTAACGCTTAACAAACGACTGGACAACATACTATCCTATTTACATTACTTGACAGCCTGGTTCCTTCGGAAGCGGAATTAATTCGAAGAGTGTGCTCAACAGTCCTCTCTGTTACGTAACGAGGAGCGGACCAGTAAGTGTTCACGTGAATAACTCGGTAAGTCACAGTGTTTCCTTTTTCCTATCCTTTTAAACAGCCAGTTTATAATCTCCACGCCGGTCATCCCAGGATACTTGTTAAGCAATCACCATTTTCTCGTTATGAATTACTGTTCGTTGTTCACGATGCTCACTCAGTAGTCAACTTAGTGGATGCCCAAAGCAACGGATATTCCGGTGATTTATGCCTTGCAAAGAGAAAACTAGTATGGACCAAAGTAACCCGAAATTCATCCTGGTTAGCTTTAGCACTTAAGTCGAAAACCGGTTTATTGTCCAATTAATAAACTTCGGCAAATGCATTGAAATTCCTTCAATGATCAGTAGTTTAGTTGCACGAGCTTTTGATTATCAAGACGGTAATTTGAACACTTTCCGCTAGCGAATAGCTGTTTACACCGGGTCGATATGATTATCAGAGACAGAGGTAATGGGGACGACCATTGGTACGTATGGTATGGGGAAAAATTACTTTGGCATTGCATTGATAATGGCCTAAGTTGCAGAGCACCAGCCACGGGTCAGAATTGATCTCGCCATCTGAAGTTAGACCATTCTGTGTTGAATAATGAATCATTGGCACTGAGCATCGGGACCATGTCGAAGACTCGTAAGTTCAGTGTTGACTGCCCTCTACGCCACTTTGGGTTTTGCTTGTACTTGTAAGGGAATAGTCATCCGAATGCTCACTGCATATGTGATCCAATGGTAACTAGCTATTCTCCGTATTGGTACCCTCATCAGACTTTGTGAATGATACTGGTTTACCATTACTTAACCCTCCATCTTTGTAAAGTCTGGGATTAGTTTAACGAGCACAGTACCAATCGAAAGTACTTACACTATGTCAAACGTGCACCAACTGGCTCAAACCACAGTTTATCAAACACTAAAGTAGCCTTGATTTCTACCGCAAGCCATTTGATCAATACTCTCATGTCAGACAGTGAGCCACGAGTTGGATTCCTATAAAAGCACCAGTCAGGCTTGTGTTCCAAAATAAAGATGTGCGAATCATGGAAATCTGCATTATGATCGGTAAACATTGTGTTTGGAATTGAATTTTGTTTTCAAAACACAATGTTATTATCTCTATCTGTGGAGACCAAGTAGAACCAATGTGAATGATGGAATTAGTTATTTAGAGTGAATGACTTCAACATGTTCTTTCCTCAGTCATCATTTTCAACCTACGTGGTGAGGTGTCAAATTCAACTGTTGACCCCTCGATTTGGTTATGCGGTTGACCTAACCTCGATGGTGACTTTAGACATTTTATAAGCATACTGTCGGCAGATATTGTTACTATGAAAACAATTCCTTGCATCAACCAGGCGTCTTCGTTACAACGGAGTTTCAATGGGTTACACTGTTACAAAACAAGTCTAAAATGATTGGACAATTATAGGGAATAAGTACCTCCATAATTATTTACCTTCTACCTTTGGAGCATATATGACATGACAGCGGTTTAGTCGATGGTAAATATTAGCGAAGAAACACCCAACTGAAGGTGAGTGGATTATCCTCGGTACATTGAACCTATTCAGTGAGGTGTATCGTTGCAGTCCTAGCTAAAAAAAATTGTCAAACAAGTAACTCGCAGCCCGAAAATACATCCACAAGTGGTGGTGTTATCCGGAGATAAAGCATTTTTGATTATTCTCTCAGAAGGAACTGGACTCCCAATCGTTGATTGAACGCAATAACCTACTTCAGGTCTGGGACTACATACGATACAGCAGAATCAACACTGAGCAAGTATGTAACGGATCACATTTAGACCACCGGTTCAAGCCAAAGTACTTAATGTGTTAAGATTCCCAGAATCGTTATTTCCGGTTTGGGACCAGCAATCATAGCAACAATATGGAGAAGATGCGCTCACTCACCGGTTTCCTTATCAGCCAGAACTTTTCTACCATGTCGTGTTACAGTATATCCTCAGCGTCAACATAAAGTGCTGAAAATGTGCCTGTACGCACGTATAAAGATTATTTTAAGCTGACAACTTTGTGTGCAAAGCCGGCTAGATGCGACCTTAGACCTTTCCACACAACTCACCTGCCAAGAATGTTTGTTTCGAAGAATGCGGTGCGCTTAGTGAAATAAACAGGTTTCTTGATAGTGAACCACTGACCGCCACGTATTCCAACTGTCAAATGACTCCATCCAAGACGGAAGTATAGATTTTCAAGTTTGCACCTGGAAGGGCTCATGATTTCTTTCCTTGAGACTTGGAAGCGCGACTTCCTACGACCACTGTCCTCTCTCGCATCGTCCGTGCTGGTCACCTGCCAGACAATTTGGCGCTTGGAAGTCGCGGACTGAAAAGAAGTTCAGACACCAATTAGATGGGTCGTTCCAGGCGCCATTAGAAATTATTGGGAAGAAAACAGATTATTTTCATCGTCAGTCTGTTCCAACTATCTTTTGGAGTTGGTCAGGTTACACAGCCAAGGCTGTTTCGCGTATAACCGATGAAATAAATAGATAAACAATAGTTTGTTCTTTACAGTGAGTGGTTCACCAAGTAGACATGGTTATATTGGCGTGTTGCATCTGCAAGACAACGACCATAAGCTTATCAAAAGAACAAAAGCAGTTCAGATATGGTCAACTGAGATGACACGTGGCGCAAGGAATTTGACTGTAAAAGTTTGCTCTGCGAAAACCCTGCTAGCGCAGACGTTGCCGAAAAGGTAACAATCTGAAAAGTATCAGGAACTCTCTACTGTATTATTTGCGACCGATACGATCACTGGAAAATAGGTGATATTTAAAACCTATATTAGAGCAATTAAGTAAACCTCAATAAAAGGTAACAAGATATTAATGAGGCGACGTCCACTTAAGTGGATACGCTTCAGTGTTGCATGGTCAGATATATGGAAAAATCAATTCATTCTCATATATATATATATATATATATATATATATATATATATATATATATATATATATATATATATATATATATATATATATATATATATATATATATATATATATATATATATATATATATATATATATATATATATATATATATATATATATATATATAGATCATGGGTGGTCGCATAGTAAACGTGTTCTGGCACAGATTTTTACGTCCTACTTCATCTAGCGCAGTCGTCATACACTAATTCGAATCGGAATTACCCTGTGTTCAGTGGGCATATTTTAACGGAAGTATTTTCTACGGAAAGTGATTTGTGCTACAAAGTTATTTTAGCGCGTTTCGTGCTTATATCCAGACACGTCACTTTATTGCTTTTACCAATTTTCACTACTACGATACTGGGATCAACCAAGGATTCTCCGCGCTACCTGATGGTACTAGAATTACATCTTTAGGATCATTCCTAACGAAGCTACGACTCAATCTATGGTTTCAATTGCATTTGCCGATTGCCAGCACTTTCCGCTCTCAGTCACCCACCACAAGCCACTCTCAACGGCTCTGTCCTACAGGAACCAATGTGGATCAATAAGCTAAGCAAACTTCGTGTACGTGTGTCCTCGTCGTGCGCACTCATCTACGGCAACCGACGTCTACAGTGCGATCAAGACAAAGAACGCGAGCGTCACTCGCCCTCTACCTCACGTGACCAGACAAGGGAAGCGTTCATATTTCGACAACGGCCCTCAATGGAATTGACTCCACCTAACCGCAAATGTGGAAAGCAGCAGCGTATACGATCACTTAAGCGAGCTATTATTTATGAATTCTGCGGCCTTCCGCTCCACCCCCTCTGTGATGGTCTAAGTCAACTACAATACAAGAGACAAATCAACCTGATTGATTCGCTCTGGTTTTACCAAACATGCAGAGTAATCACAATGGTCAAATGTATACTATCGCTCGAGAAAAAGCGCAAAACATTGACTGAAAAAGTCCAACAGATGGTAAGCTTCAGAGCTTTGCCATTAGAATCCAACAACACCAATCTTGCTCTACAACCAACCCCTCAGAGCACTGTCCTTAAGCCGAGGGCTAAAGTCAGGCTTGCTAACTGCCCGACGACATCTGCGCTACCTATTCCAACAGTTAATAACCCTTTAAGTAAGCAAAGCGCATCCAGCGTGACTGTTATTAACTCATCCCCAGACGCCATCTCTCACAAGTTGGCCCCAACACCGAGACCGACAGTCCAGAGGTGTGGATCATACGCATTGATAAAACGCCTAAACAGACATCCGTATGTCTATCTTCTGGACCAAGCACGAGTGATGTGACGCCGTTTTCATAACTTTCTTTAGTGCCCGCCAAACAGTCTAAGGTAACATCCACAAAATTCAAAGCAACATTTGCTAAACAGAACCACGGTGCGTTAACGGTCCTGTGCACTAATGTTCCTGAGTCCAGTTCTGGCACAATAAAGGTCAAGTTGGTGGACGATCCCTACCAGTGTCATTCCATCTGCGATGCGCTTGGTATTCGGGTTGACCCAACTGGGCTACAACATGCAGCGCGTCCCCCAACTTCAGTGCATTACGGCGAACCAAGATTTCTTCGAATAAGCTTGAATTCAACTGAGGAGACAGAGATAGTCCTACTCTCAGCAGTTCAGCTTCGCAACGCATCGAAGGGGGTACGCATACTACCCGATATTCCTTGGAATGGAGGAACAAAGGAAGAAGAAAACCATGACAACCCTTCTACGAACGAAAGTAAAAAACAGTATTTGTTAATGGTGTTCCTGAACCATTGGACTCTGCTGAGCACGAAGCGCAAAAACATGAACGAGACCAGTGGTGCTACATCCGTCAAGCACTCTCCCTGGACCACGTTATTGCTAAATCACTAACAAGAACTCCTTTATTTCCAAACTACAAGGGCTGCAATCCAAAAACACTGAAACTCGTGCTACACTCCGATGAAATGACAGAAGTCCTATTGGATGGCTGGTAAAAGCATCGCTCCAGGTTGCCTACCGAGATTAGGCTAAAGGTAACAGATGCACAACCACTAGTTATCAGTAGATCATTGGAACATGCAACCTCAATAAAATATTTGCCTCCACAAATCTGTAGATCTGTAGACAATATGGCGTTATCGACACCCGACTGGACAGGGAGACACGGGGAACCTCTCGATCTGGGATACTCCACGCTACAATGCAGCCTGACTCACGTTCAAGAACCAATAATCCACGCAAATATACGATTAGCGGCCGACTGACGAACGGTCGACTTACAACTAAACACAAATTTGTTGTCCACCAACACACTTCTAACATCAAAAATACTGTTTGTATACTAACGCCCAAGGTCTTCTTAGTAAGCTGGCCAAACTTAGAGAACGCCAAACGTCACAACCGCGGGATCTCATTATGATTACGGAGACCTGGTTAAGGCTTGAGGTTGTAGATTCTGAAGTCAATTTACCTTGTATGTCACTGCATCGGAATGACAGAGCTGCAAGAAGTGGTGGCGTAATTTTGTATTACAAGGCTAACCTCCGATGTGAAGTTATTGACTACTTAGAGATCCGTGCCCCATATTCGCTTTGGTGCCGGCTATGATTACGGAACAAAGATACATGTCTTATAGCTGTGATTTACCGTCCACCAAACTCTACGTGTGAAATGGACTCCAAACTAAACCACGTTCTTCAGGTGGCTTTGAGCAAGACATACAGTCACATTAGCATCGCAGGAGACTTTAATGTGCACGACATGAAAATAGTGGCGACCGATAGCATGCAGTTATCCGAGCATTATATGCGCGTAGCTCGGGCAGAGTGAGGGCTTACGGCAAGTTGTCGTCGCCCTTTAATATCTCCAGCGGCGTGAGACAAGGATGCCCGCTGTCACCTTTCCTCTTCAACTTCGCTGTTGACGAAGTCATGGAAATCGCGTTTACAGGACACGACTTAGAAGGTGTGGAGCTACTCCCAGGAGAACGACTTCTTGATTTAGAGTATGCTGATGATATTGCCCTCATCTGTGACAGCTCACAAACGTGCCAAGCGGCACTGGACAGATTAGCACTGGCTGTCAGCCGCTTCGGGCTTTGCTTCGCACCCTCGAAGTGCAAAGCGTTTCTCCAAGATTGGTCTGGACCGCCTCCTACGCTGACCCTTGGTGGGGATCAGCTAAAAGTCGTTCAAAAATTCAACTACCTGGGAAGTTGTATCAGCGCCCGTGGGATTGAAGATGAAATCACGAATCGTATAGCAAAAGCTAGAGGCGCTTTCGCTAACCTTCGCCACTTATGGCGCCGGCGCGACATCACTCTTGCCCTGAAGGGTAGAGTGTACAATGCAGCAATACGTTCGACCCTACCGTACGGTTGTGAAACCTGGCCGCTTAAAGCAGCGGACCTGAAGAGGCTAGTTAAGTTCGACCATCGGTGCCTTCGCAGTTTGGCTCATATCTGGTGGGAACACCGCGTTAGCAACGAGCGTGTTTCACGCCTTATTTACGGCACAGGAAAAGGAAGTGAACCGCTCAGCACCGTCATTTCACGCATCAGGCTCCGATGGCTCGGCCACGTGTTACGCATGCCAGCCCACCGACTTCCGGGACGTGTGATGTTTGCGCACCGGGGGTGTGGATGGAAGAAGAGGAGGGGTGGCCAAGCGATGACTTGGTCCAGAGGAATGAAGGCCCTCACTTCTGAGCTGGCCTCGGTTGGAGCGTCTCGGCTCCCTGGTTGGGGTCCGAAAGACGATGAACACGTTTGGTTGGACACATTTGCTGATATGGCTAGGAGCCGACCTTAATGGCGTTCGTGCTGTGAATTTCTTTGTCCCACCCCATTCCTCTTAGCCTCCCCCTCCAACCACGATCTCATGACTTAGCCTTATATAATTTTGAATAATAATTTTTTTGGGTGCACAGCAGCCGGCTAGTAGCTTACCGGAACGATGCCCATCCGTTACCGGTAGCTCAGCCAGCTTTCACCGGTTGTTTTTTTGTTCTCTCCTTTTTTCTTTGTATTGCGGCACAGTAGCTGAGGTGTTTCCCACCTCTAGCTAACGAGTATGACGATGATGATGATGATGATGATGATGATGATGATGATGATGACGATGATGGATGACGATGATGATGATGATGATGATGATGATGATGGTGATGATGATGATGATGATGGTGATGATGATGATGATGATGATGGTGATGATGATGATGATAGCATTCAGTTCAGAGCCTGTTTATAAAAGGTAATTTCCAGCTACCCTATGTACAATCACGTGACCACTACCACCAGATTTCGAAGTGCCAACAAGCCGTCGATACTTGATCTTATGCTCACCAAAAAAGAACTCATGATAGACAGAATAATTACAAGCACACCACTGGGTCGTAGTGAC